ATGTGTATGTAGTATATAGTTATTCCTGCTTTACAGTTGAGAAAACTGAGGATCAGGAAACTGATAATTGTGCCCATGGTCCCACAGTAAATGACAGAACAAGGATTGGAATCCAGATCTTTCTGGCTCTAAAGCATGTATTCTTTAACAATTGGCTTGCAATTTTTTCTTGCACTATGTGCTTTATGTAAGTCATAAGAATCCAACCGCGTCTTAGTTTGTGATGATTATGCCTATTACTCTTAAAGTCTCTACACTGTTTGATTTTCACCTTACAGGAGTTAGCATCTTTTACTTTATCAGCATGAATTTTAATATTGGTTAACTATTTGGCTATATTTGAAATAGGCTTTTTCTTTGCATTCTATTTCTTGAATATAAATTTGAAATATGATTAGCCAACAATTTACAGTATAGCTATAACACACATTGTTTGTAAGAATTTAAGTTTTACACTTGAACTGTTTAAGAACAAACATAAGATTGACTAAAAATTTACAAATTTAGCTGAAAACTTTTTTATAAATGTGGTTTTTTATAAATGTGGTTTTTTATAAATGTGGTTCTTCTGCTTTTGTTCAACATATCACCAAGGTAGACCACCAACATGCGTTTTCCCCAAGGGAAAGTTATTTTGTTTTGTTTTTGTTTTTTGCGTTGGAGTCTCACTCTGTCACCCAGGCTGAAGTGCAGTGGCACATTCACGGCCACCCCAGCCTTGACCTGCTGGGCTCCACGATCCTTCCTCCTCAGCCTTCCAAGTAGCCAGAACTATAGACATGCGCCGCCACACCCGGCTAATTTTTGATTTATTGTAGAGACAAGGTCTCGCCAAGTTGCCCGGGCTGGTCTCAAACCCGTGAGCTCAGGCGGTCCATTTGTCTCGGCCTCCCAGAGTGCTGGGATTACAGAGTGAGCCCCTGAGCCTGGCCAGATTTTTGTTTTTGTTTTTGTTTGGGGGTTTTTGTTTGTTTGTTTGTTTGTTTTTTAGCTGGAATTTCACTTCACCGCCCAGGCTGGAGAGCAGTGGCACGCTCACAGACACCCCAGCATCGAACTCGAAAGTTGTTGTGTTGGTGAAGGTGTTTGAGTGGGGGACTGGGGAGCAGCCGGCCACTGACATCTCGGTTTCACATTTCATTTGGTGTGTTTAAGAAATGGCTAACATAGATATTTATAAAAGTACAAGGACAGTTTCAAAGATCCCTTAAGTCATGTTATTTCTCATGAGAGAATAATACTATTTCTTGAAAGTTAAAGAAATAGTTTGCATATTTACAAATATGTGGTGAGGTCAAGTGTTGCCATATTCCTGTTTAGTGGCTTTCTTGTCTGTCAACCTAAAACGCAGATTGCCATGGATGTTGTTAGGCTTGCTGATTTCGTGTATACTAAGTCAGACTTGACAGAATTTATATTTGTGGAGACTTTAACACATTTCTCAGTGTAACTTAGTCTTCTCTGCAGAGTTCCAGCCCAGGGCCAATGAGATCTGTGGAGGAGTTTGCAGGAATCTGCCCTCCATTCCCATTGCCCTGAAGAAGACTGAGGTTGTCCTTGAATGCATGAGCTGCCTGTGGAGGGCTTGAGTTTTGAGGGTAGTTGTCTCAGTTCCTTTGGGCTGCTGTGACAAAACAGCTTAGACCAGATCACTTACAAACAACAGAGGTAGATTTCTCACAGTTCTGGAGGGTGGGAAGTCAGAGATCAAGGCTCCAGCAGATTCGGTGTCTGGTGAGGGCTGCTGTCTGCTTCAGAGATGGTTGCTGCGTCCTCACATGGCACAAGGCTTACACATTCCCTGGGGCTCTCCTATGGAAGGGCGCTGATTCCATCTGTGAGGGCTCTACCGAAGGCCACACCTCTAAGATCACCATGATAGGGACTAGGTTTCAGCATCCATTTCGGAGAGACAAACCTTCAGAGCATCGTGGTAACTGACTCCCTAAATAGAGTGTTTTCTATAATCCTTATTGACTTACTTAGGTACTTAATTGTCATTTGTGAGCATACTAAATTTTTAAGAATAAGAATATTACATTTTAAGAGATACTGTATAATAATATTAAAATGTTCATCACATTTTTGGAGGGGGTATGTTGGGTCTTTGTCTTTTAAAATAAGATTTTCTTTATGTGAAAACAGCATTTTACTTTGTTAAGAGTTTTCTTGGTTACCATTCTGCAGAATTTAGCTACAGGATGTAAGTAGTATTGAGCTTTTCTTCCCACTAAGTGAATATCTCACTATAAAAGGTTGTGGAATGGTGTACCTTTATAATACCTGCTCAAATTTGGGAGAGTGGGAAAAGGGAGGTACAGAGAGATAACAGGACACTTTTCCAACAGTGGAGTTAAAAGATAATTTTTTTTTTAATACATGTAACTGAGCTTAGTTGATCTTTCTTGTTCAGCATGTTGTTTTCAGGTCATTTTAAAAATTCTTAAATTTTTAATTATTATGGGTACATAATAGTCATACCTGTTTATTGAGTACATGTAATATTTTGATACAAGCATACAGTGTGTAATCATCACATGTAATGTGCCAGGTTTGATGGCAGCTCATGCCTGTAATCTTAGCACTTTAGGGGGCCAAGATGGGAGAATCACTTGAGCCAGGAGTTTGAGACCAGCCTGGGCAACATAGCAAGACCTCATCTCTGCAAAAAATTATCCAGTTGTGGTGGTGTGCCCTGTAGTCCCAGCTACTGGGGAGGCTAAGGTGAGGGTGTCACTTGAGCCCAGGTGGTCGAGGCTGCAATGAACTGGATTGTGCCACTCCAGTCCAGCCTGGGCAGCAGAGTGAGACCCTGTCTCAAAAAAAAGAAAAATAAATAAATTGAAAATAATAATTATGTATAATGTGTAACAATCAAAGCAATCAGGGTAATTAGGATATTCATCACCTAAAGCATTTATCATTTCTTTGTGTTGGAACCCTCCAGGTAATCTTTATTATATGTAAGCCACTTCACAGTTAAACTATGCTAACTCGGGTATGAATGAGATCTCCAGCTTCTGGAGATGTATTTGACTTTTCTTCAGTTCGGACTATGGGAGGTACAGTGTGGCTTTTCTCTAAATTGGGCCTACAGCCCTCCCCCTCCTTCCCCACTGCCCAAACTGTCATCACATAGGGTTTCCTCAGTCAGCCTCTCCCAGTTGTGCTGATGTTACTTACCCCAGTAGCTTTGCTTTCCATGAGCCTTCAGAAGCGCCTCTTTCATTGCCATCAATTCCTTGGTAAAGAGTCTCCAAAGCATCTCCATGGCCTGGAAGACAGAAAGCCCTAGGTGGGAGGGGGCTATTTTAAATTGTACTACAGTGCCCTCTTCGCTTCTTTCTTCTCTGACCCCCAAGCCCTGTTACCGCTCCCCATCATCACTTGATTGTACACGATCCTTTTCTTGGTTTCAACTTGGAAATGTATGAGCTTTTTAAGTTGAAGGTTATGAATCATATTTTCTTTTAATTCCTGAAGTTCAGTTAGTGAAGTGAATTGAATTATATTCAATGCTTATTGATGATCAAGATTTTAGTCATCTTCTAAGTTTATTCTCATACTTGTCACTGGCAATCAGCCATATTATTGGAATAGTGTTTTAAAATTTTAGCACGTGTCCACTGAATACACAGTGTAGAGCTGAAAAAGGCAGCCCATATGCTGACATGTTTGTTTGTGTTTTTTTCACATTTTAGTGTATGTCAGCACTCAAAACCGATCTCTTTTTTAACCAAATCTGTGGCAGGTTATGTCAGAGATGTTGAGGTATACCTCTGTGATTAAAACAAACAAACAAACAAAAAACCCCCAAATTTGTCTCTAGTGGCTAAGTTTTTAAAATCATATTCTTATAAAATATAAGGTATTACTCTGTTCTTTTAAGTTGTTATACTTTTTTATTTCAGGAAGCTAAAAATTAAAACTTACCATATTAGAATGAAATAACAGTTAAGAGGGACAAGGAGAAAAATGCTTTTTCCTCTTTGATATTTATTTATTTACTTTGTATCTGGCATAGTTCCTCATTTATTTCCACAGCAAACTTAAGAGCTATGAAATGTCCCAAACTGACAGACACAAGGAGCTGGGGGGAAGATTGTAGAGCTCATCAACAGGAGTTCTCTTCATAGGCACTGGCTGACTTCAGAGCCTCTGTGCTCTGCTATGACAAAGCTCCGTCATCACTGAGGCCATGTAGGAAGGTCAAACCATTTTACAAGTGAGTGAAACAATGGAATTATTAGCAGTCAGTTATGACATAGTGCTAGGTAACAATTTTGGTCAGAGAAAATGGCTGCATCTACTATTTTGGAAATGTTCTAACCTGTAGAAAAGTTAAAATAATAAAACTACTAAAGGTATATACCTTCTGCCTAGGTTTACTCTGAAATAATATTTTTCCATTTTCTCTCTCTCCATACACATATTTTTTAACCAATAAAAGGTAAGTTTCAGACACTTACCTTCCTAAGTACCTGAACGTGAATTTTTTAAAAATAAGAATTTTCCTTCTAATTGTACCCAAGGCACTTGACATTAACTCAGTCATATCAAATGTTCCCATTTCCCCAGCTATCCCAAACTGTCTTTTACAGCTGAACTTTTGTGAAGTTTCCTTTTCCAGTCTAGGATTCATCCAGAGTTTGTGTTTTGCATTTGTGTTATTCTCTTTAGAGATACTGATACAAAATACTTTCATCGGTCTCTTTAGTGTATTGTATTGTCTTGTTTTTAATGCCTTTAACTTTTCAAAGGGTTCCGGCTGTCTTTATAATATCCTAATTCTGGATTCATTCAATTATCCTAAGCATTAGATTTACCTGAATGTATCATGTTAAACATTTTTCGCGGTGATACCACATCTGTGATGTTTTATAATTCTGGTAACGTCATGTCTGAAGTCACCTAATGTCCACATAAAATGTGTAGTATGTTCATTTGTGATTAGCATCCAAGACTTAATCGCTTGAATTATTTTTTTATTTTTCAAATAGACAACGACTGAACGCCCCTTCATTCAGAAGCTGTTTCGTCCTGTGGCCGCAGACGGACAGTTGCACACACTGGGAGATCTCCTCAAAGAAGTCTGTCCCTCTGCTGTTGCCCCTGAAGGTAATAGAGTCAGCAACATTAAACATTTCTTTCATTTCCTGTTCTAAATCCTTTGTGACCGAGGCAGGTTATTTGTAACCTGCTTTCTGCATTTGTAAATAACACAGGTTATTTCAGGAAGATATTTTCACTATCTTATAGGGAAAAATATTTTTAAACAGAAGCACTTAATATTTAACATGATTATTACCCTCTTACTGCATCTCTGGTACTCTGGGTCTTGAATTTGTGCATTCAATCAGTTCTGGTAAATATTATTTTTAATCTTCCATTTTGTTTTTTAATTATAAATAAGTCAGAGATGGTAATAAAAAATTATTTTTTAAAAGTTGAAATACTGACTAATGGTTTAGTATTTTATTTTAATTCTTGCTGTTTTCTACTTGGTTCTTTTTTATTCAGCATTGTTCTTTGAGACTGCGAAATTTTTTGTTTTGTTTTATCTGTACTTTATTATTAGTATTTTTTTTTAAAGATATGGTGTACAATTCAGAGTTATGGATACAAGTGTTCATTATGCAGGCACCCTTGTTGTTGAGGGAAATTGCCCTTCTCTCCCCTGACAGTTTCCCTCAACTGCCAATCCCACCCCCCTCCCCTGGCAGTTTCCCGCTACTGAGGCTTTGAAATTTTATAAGTCCATCCAAAAACCTGTCCTGTTTCATCGTCCTCATTTTGGATCTTAGGTTAAGTGGCTTCCCTACAGGCAAAGAAAAAAATATAAAAATTGCTGAGTTCTTTTTTTCTTTATTACAACCTAAGGAACACTAAGAAAATACAGAAAATAATAAAAGAAAAAAGGACTCACAGTCCCCTAGCTCACAGATACCACTATTGACACACAGACACACACACATATGTACCTGAACACTTAAGATATCTCTATATACAGATGGCCCTCTGTATCTGTGGGTTGCACATCTGATTGGATTCTACCAACTGCAGATCAAAAATATTTGGGAATGGCCAGGCACGGTGACTCATACCTGTAATTCCAGCACTTTGGGAGACTGAGGCAAGAGGATTGCTTGAGCCCAGAAGTTTGAGACCAGCCTAGGCAACATAGAGAGATCTCATCTCTACAAAATTTTTTTTAAAAATAGCTAGGCATAGTGTCACATGCCTGTAGTCCCAGGTTCTTGGGTGAGTTAAAGCAGAAGGATCACTTGAGCCCAGAGGTCGAGGCTTGGTGAGATGTGATCATGCTACTGTACGCCAGCCTGGGCAACAGAGTGGGACCCTGACTCAAAAAAAAAAAATTGAGAGAGAGTGGGAATTGAGTGATTGTGTATATACTGAAAATACATAGACTTCTTTTTGGTTATTATTCTCTAAACATAGCATTTATGTTATATTGGATATTATAAGTAATTAGAGATACTTTATAGTATATGGGAGATCTGTGTAAGTTATACGCAAATTATACCATTTTGTGTAAAAGGCTTGAGCATTTGTGGATTTTTGTATGTTGGGGTCCTTGAACTAATCCCTCATAGACACTGAGAGACAAGTATGTTCATGTGCCTGTGTATAAAATGTCCTGGTGCTTTGTTAATCTAATCTTTGCCCTATTACTGACTTAATTACTTAAATCTAGCCCTACAGTTGATTACTAAACTATAAGGAACATTTTCAGTAGCATGCTACTGTATTTATTAATAAACTACATACTAATCAATTTTTTAATTATATATATTAAAAAATAAAAACTTGCCCCTTTAAATCCTTGATGGAAGGAGGTGAGACATTAGTAAACATTAAGGTAATACTTCAGTAGATAATGTTTTCTTATGAGTATAGTCTAAGTTGGGAGATTACAGGGTCACTTGCATGACTTATAACTCTACCACACAGTTCAAGAAGCATGTTGAGTCTAAGGCAGTGGTTGCCCTAAGAAGTAGAATTAGAAAAAATAGTCTTGAGGGTGATGTTGATTTTCCAGATTAAGTGACTAAACAAAGAATTCAGAACTCAAAATGCATGTATCTGGTCTGTGGACGTAGTGATTTTCCTCAGTCAGGTACACTTGCCTGTACCTGCATGAATGTAGCACTTATAAAGTAAAATTTACAATACAACATGCCGGAGACCAGCTGCAGCCGGGTTCAGGGTACCCCAAAGGTGGAGATGGCATCGGCGATTGGGGGGAGAAGAAAGAGAGAGAGAGAAAGAAAGAGACTGGACTCCGGTCTAGTGCAGAAGCGATGTGTGTTATTGGAAATTACAACGGGTCTTTTATATACAAAGTCAGATGTGGGAGGGGCATCCCCCACCCACCAGAAACCTTAATCCATGAAAACTTAATCAATGATTGCCTTTAAACCCTTCTCATATGATAATCTTAAAATCCCATAACAAAGGATAACCTAATCCGTGATTGACATATTCTATAAACCTTTTTCATCCTAAGCTGATTGATTTATGCCAAGTTAAACAATTCTATAGAAGCTTAAGTATTTACTTTACAAACGAAAGTGGCCCATCCCAGAATGTTTGGAATGTGGCCCAGTCGAAAGTTCAAAGTGGGCTACCTGCAAGTAACCCAGCCACATTCTTTCAACAAAATGGCTGTCTTCTAAAACTATATTCTACACTTTACACCTTCAATAAATCCTAAGATCATGACCCAGAAGCCTGTGACCAATACTAAGGCTCTTAGATGTGACACGAGTTTGAATTATAAGTTGTGTGAAAGCCGGGCTCGGTGGCTCAGCCTGTAATCCCGCGCCTTTGGGAGGCTGAGGTGAGTGGATTGCCTGAGCCCGCAGGTTCAAGACCCACCTGGGCAGCAAGACCTCATCTCTACAATAAATCAAAAAATCAGCCAGGCGTGGTAACGCATGCCTGTAATTCCGGCTACTTGGAAGGCTGAGGCGGAAGGATCACCGGATCCCAGCGGGTTGAGGCTGTGGTGGCTGGGAGCGGCCACTGCACTCCAGTCTGGGCAACAGAGTGAGACTCCAACTCAAAAAAATAAAAATAAATAAGTTGTGTGAAAGCCAAAACTGCAGTTTGTGGAAGAATGGGAGCAATGAGCTTCTAAAGTTAGCTTGTGGTCGTCCCGGTCTCAAAGTTTTTATGTTTTGAGCTCACAGGAGCTTAATCTGGTTAGTGCTGAGTAGAAAGGGGGAGGAAATGGGGTCAATAGCTCCCGAACACACCCTAGTGGTCTCGGAGTCAACGGCCCTCCTGATCCCTAACGCTCAGTGGGCCTCCGTGGCCGGCTCCCAACAACAACACAATATAATGACTATTTTTATAGCATTTATATTATGTTGAAGATTTTGAGTAATATCTAGTTGAAGGACTGAAGGAACAGACCATTGACCACTACCCAAAATTATTACGGTTGAGCAGGGTTTATTTATTTAAGAGGTTACAGATATATTCTTACAAAGCCTTAGAGTTTCATTTTCCTGTGTTGACTTTTACTAGACTGAATAGTCAAGGGTTCTTGAGATATCTTATACACATCCTCAAATCTCTAGCACTAGTGTAAATGTTTGCTGAACATTCCAATTATTTTGTGTCATTATTACCTTGAAACATTATTTATGATCATTTATCATGGAGTCATTAGCATTAAGTTGTTTATACTATTATTTTAGAGTCCTAATCCATCTTTTCTGCTGTGTGATTTTAGCTTTCAATAAAAGTTTCAGTTAAGTGATATTTTTGAACAGTTTAATAATTTTAAAAGTAAATTTATAGAGCTGTGCAACCCATCACCACAATCTAGTTTTAGAACATTAGCATCACTTCAGAGTACTCCCTTGTTCCTTGTGGGCACCTGATCTCTGTTCCCACTGCCCATCATAAACAATTACTGCCTGTCTTCTGTCTCTGTCATTTGCCTTTTTTGGATATCCCACATAAATGGAATTATCCAAAATGGAGTTTTTTGCAACTGATTTTTTCACTTACATTACATTTTTCAGTCTCATCCATATTGTATCAAGTATCAAGAGTTTGTCCCTTTTTATTGGTGAATAATACTCCACTGGGTGGGTATCTCACAGTTTGCTTATCTGTGACCCAGTTCATGGACATATTTATTGTTTCCAGGTTTTCACTTTTATGAGCAATGCTAATATGAACATTCAGAAATGGATCTTTGTGTGGACGTGTGACTTCATTTTTCTTGTGTGGATTCGTAGGAGCAGAATGGGTGATATGGCAAGTTTGTGTGATCTTTAAAAAAACTGCTAAGCTTTACCAGAGTGACAGCTCCATTTTACAGTCCCACCAACAATGTATAAGGTTACCATTTTCTTCGCATCCTCATCAACATGTATTGCTTCTTGTTTTTATTATTGCCATCCTAATGGTAGCTCATGATGATTTTAATTTGTATTTTCCTAAGGACTAATGATGTTGGACTTGTTTTCATGTGTTCATTATAATTTGTGGATCCCTTTGTTGAAATGTCCATTCAAATCCTTTTCTCAGTTTTTCATGGAGTATTTATTTCCTTATTATTGAGTCTTGAGCGTTATTTGTATATTCTGGATACAAGTTCTTTGTCAGATACATGATTTGCCGATACTTTCTTCTAGTCTGTGACTCATCTTTGTTTTCTTTTGAAGAGTAAAAATACTTAATTTTGTTGATGTCTTGTTTATCAAGTTTTTGGATTGTGTTCAGTTAAATGATTTTTTAAAATTTCTAATAGACGTTCATTTACATGTTTTAAAAAAATCAAAATGTATATAAAGGAATTTAGTAAAAAGTCTCTTTTCTAACTCCTATTTTCCAAACTCTACACAGTTCCCCTTTCTTGGGATAAACATTGTTGCCTGTTTCCTGTATATCTTTAGAGATAGTTAAGTAAACTTTATTTTTGAACTCAGGTAACAGAAAAATGGACTGGGAAATTCCCATATTCAGGAACAATATTACTGTTCTATTTCATTTTCTCCATGTTGTAAGGACGTTTGATTTTAATTTATTTTATGTCTATTATTCTGTATTCTTGAGGATTTTGGAATATACACTAGTTT